CAATTCTGACTTTTCTCGCAATTCTGACTATTTTTTCCCAATTCTGACTTTTCTCATAATACTGGCTTTATTTTTCAGGATTGTGAGTTCATATCAAGCAATTCTTACTTTTTTCTTGCAATTCTGAGTTTTCTCGCAATCATGACTATTTCTAATAATTGCAATTTTATTTCTCGGAATTGCGAGTTTATATCTTCCAATTCTGACTTTTTCTCACAATTCTGACTTTTCTCACAATTCTGACTTTTTCTCACAATTCTGACTTCTCTCAGAATTGCGTGATATAAACTTGCAATTATGAGAAAAAGTCAGAATTGTGAGTATATATCTCGCAATTCTGGCTTTATTTCTCAATATCGCGAGTTTATATCACGCAATTCTGACTTTTTTCTTGCAGTTGTGAGTTCGTCACGCAATTCTGGAAAAAAAGTCTGAATTGCAAGAAAAAAAGTCGCAATTACCTTTTTTAATTTTTTTATACAGTGGCAGAAACGGGCTTCCATATGAAGCTGCTCAGTGTGTGAAATGCTGTAGAAGTGCTGTAGAGTCTGGAGTCTGTCTGTGCTGAGAGTCCAAACAACTGATAAAAACATCAAAATAATCCACAGCACTCCAGTCCATCAGTTCACATCTGGAGAAGACAAAAGCTGAAACAAATCCAGCACTAAGACGTTTTTAACTAAAATACGAGTCCATAATCCATAATAAGGCTTCCTCCAGTGAAAAAGTGTTCTGGTCTGAATCAGGAGGGAAATCTGCACAGATCAAGCAGCGTTTAAACAGCTCTAAACAAATATGTGGCTGGATTTTGATGTGAGAGACAACAGCAGATGCACTTTTTCACTGGAGGAAGTGTTATTATGGATTATGGACTCGTAATTTTAGTTAAAAACGCTTTGATGATGCACTGTAAGAAACTGACTGTGGAATTCACAGTAATTAACTGGCAGCAATTGTCAAGTAACTTACCGTAGAAGAAATAGCCATATTTTTGCTGTTTTCATTTACAGTAGCAACCATGTAACTGTAAAGTAAAACTAATTCTGCTGTCGTGACAGTAAGTGAGGGATGGAAGCGTTTGCTCACCGGTCGTGCTGACGGTGATGTACGCCGGGTCACTGACGCTGCTGTAGCTGCTGCTGATCACGGTACAGTTATATGAAGTGGACGGCTGCAGTCCAGATACGGTCACAACATGAGCGGCGGTCAGCAGCGGCTCTCGCACCTTCTGCAGCAAAACAAACACACACATAATAAACCAGCTGTTCATTCACGGTTCTGCTGTGTTCCTACTCTTTCCCTTCCAAACACAGAATTTTCCGTGCTTCCACTGTTATACGCTAGGGGGCGCTATTACACATCTCCTGAATGAGTCTAGAGTCACTCGATCAAAAACACAGACGAGGAAGACGCAGAAACGAGCGATCTCATATGTAAGCGCATGCATATGAAAAATAATGCGATCATCAACACTAACCGCATATAAATGAAAACTGCCTAATGCTAGCGAGTGAAATGTGGATCCAGAAAGTGTGCAAGCTTTGGGAGCGCTGATGGAAGCCATCTACTGCTCAACTAACAACTATTAGTAAATCCTGTAACAAATGTCTTGCTCATTGTTAATGCTAATTAATTAATGCATTAACTAACAATGAAAAACACTTCTAAAGCATTTATTATTCTTGATGTTAACTTTAACATTTATTCATAAATGATTAAAATCAAACCAATATCAATATTATTTAACTGAGCTAACACAAGCTAATTAACAATTAACCATTTAAAGATTAATTAAACAGATTAATAAATGCTGTAACAAATGTATTGCTCGTTTTTAATGTCAGTTTGCATTGCATTAACTAATGTTAACATGCATCATGAATTACTATTTGTTAATATTAGCTATTGCATTAACTAACATGAATGAACAAAAAGCAACTGATTTTAATTTGTTAATGCGAGTTCATAAAAATGATGTTTATGATGTTTAATGTTCATGTTAATCCTCAGTGTACTGAAATGAAACCTGAATGTAAATTATTACCGTGCACACATTTCTCCTGTTTTTATCATCGAACACAAAACCATTAAGAAACTGCATCACAATCTGCATCTCCAGATGTTTGCACACACATGTGTGGTTATGATATTGATCAGTAGCTCTTACTTTGCTCTCTCTGTTGACTCGCAGCGGTCTGCAGACGATCTGGTAAAAGTCCACGACGCCGTCCTCCGTCCAGAGCAGCGTGACGGCCGCGTCGGTGGCGTTTAGTGCGTACAGAGACTTCGGAGGAGCCGGTTCTGTTAGCAAAACAGCCAAACGCCACACTACTTACAAGCTCCTCCAAGAAAACAGCATAAAAAAGGAAGACGAAACAAACAGCCACAACAATCCTGACACACTCTGAACAGGAAGTCAAAGCGAAACGAGTTATTATTAGAACAGAAAGCACACTCTCAGCAGTAAACTAGCAGCGATTTTACTTTTGCTTCGGGATTTTGTGTGCGAACTGATCTGATTCACATTCATTAAATCAACAGCCAGATAGTTGCTATCCAAGAATTGTTTCTTCGTCAGATTTGGAGAAATGCATCAGTGTCTCAGCAATGGATGCTCTGCAGTGAATGGGTGCCGTCAGAACGAGAGCTGATAAAAAACATCACAATAATCCACAAGTAATCCACAGCACTCCAGTCCATCAGTTAACATCTGGAGAAGACAAAAGCTGAAACAAATCCAGCTTTAAGACGTTTTAACTAAAATACCATTGAGTCCATAATCCATAATAACGCTTCCTCCAGTGAAAAAGAGTTCTGAATCAGGAGAGAAATCTGCACAGATCAAGCAGCGTTTAAACAAATACACTATATTGCCAAAAGTAGCTTCTAATGAACAGGTTTGACTACTTTAGTCATTTCCATGAGTGCAAATCTTAATGTTTAAGCGTATAATGATGTTCTAGGGAATTGTGCGCTTCTAATTTTATTGCAACAGTTCGGACACGAGCCTTTTCTATTCTAACATGACGATGCCTCTGTGTATAAGGCAAGGTTCAAATGATTGATTGAGTCTGTGTGGAAGAACTTGACTGGTCTGCTGTGACTTTAAATGCAGACCTCGAGCCGAAAACTCATCAGCAAACACCAGTGACTTGTACATATGGGTGCCGTCATTTTAGACACTTCCAAAACTGTTGCGACAGAGATGGATTTTTAAATAAAACAGTTTTGGAATTGCCTTTTTCTGTTCTAAAGAAGGGGTTGTCCCAATACGTTTGGCAATATAGTGTATGTGGCTGGATTTTGATGCGAGAGACAACAGGAGATGCACTTTTTCACTGGAGGAAGCGTTATTATGGATTATGGACTCAATGGTATTTGAGTTAAATATGTCTTAATGCTGGATTTGTTTCAGCTGCTTTTGTCTTCTCCAGATGTTAACTGATGGTGTGGATTACTTGTGGATTATTGTGATGTTTCTATCAGCTCTCGTTCTGACGGCACCCATTCACTGCAGAGCATCCATTGCTGAGACACTGATGCAGTGCTACATTTCTGTCTTGATGCTGGATTAGTTTCAGCTTTTGTCTTCTCCAGATGTTCACTGAGTGCTGTGGATTATTGTGATGTTTTTATCAGCTCTCGTTCTGACGGCACCCATTCCGCTGCCACTGACCGAGTTTGATGATGTGCGGCGCAGACGTGTTGCGGCTCCTCTCGGTGCAGGCGGAGACGGTCAGGTTGTAGATGTCTCCGGGAGGAAGAGTCAGAGATGCCTTCATCATGTTGCGAGTCACCTGTAACACAGTCGTCAGGCGCAGTGATGATTCAGAGCCCATAGCAACCGTCTCCATTGAGCCACTGAACATTTACACGTTTTTTTAACCCTCTGTCACTTGCACTCTCTATTTGTTTTCTAACTGCTTGTTTTTCCAATGGGTTTTCCGCACACCCACATGAATTTCTAGCAGCACCCGTTGTAACTGCCAGCGTTAACGCAGGGAAGTGAGTGCATTTTGATATGGCTGACTTAGGGCTACTACTTTTTACAATGTGCCTTATAACAACTATAAAGATAAATATAAGGACTTGTGAATGTATGTTAGCCATATGTACCTGTCATCTTGCAAACTGACTTCCCAAGGTATTTGGATTCCGTTTTTGTTGCTTGTCTTGTGGATCCAAATAAAAGAATAAAATGTGAGTGTGTGTGTGTGTGAGTGTGTACCTGAAGACGGCGTCATGGGTGCAGCCACCAGGCCGTTGACATTGAAAGCTGCCATTTGCTGCATCTGAGCGGCGGCGATGGCAGCCATGGGGTTCAGATACGAGCCCTGCGTCGCTGCGATCCAAATAAAAGAATAAAATATGTGTGTGTGAGAGAGAGAGGTTGTGTTGTGTTTTCTAGTGAAGGTTGTGTTTGGAGAGACTCACGTCGATGGAGTAGCGTCTCCTCGCACCCTTCTTCCCTTCAGCCGTCAGCTGCCAGTGTAGCATCCGCGAATGCGAGAGATCAGTGAACAGATCGCCGTAAGTCCAGCGCACGAACAGCGTCCCGTGAGCGTAATCCACCGACGAGATGTGAGGAGCTTCAGGAGCTGGCCATCAAACACACACTCAGTAAATAATTTAACCCTTTCAATGCTTATTTTTGTCAGCTGAAACTCTTTGACGTAATGTATTTTAATATTTGTGGCCCTGGACCACAAAACCAGTCACAAGGGTCAATTTTTTTAAACTGAGATTTATCTGTATATATGTTTATCTGTACTCATTATTAGTTAGGGTTAGAGAACATTAGTGACCCTGCAGCACAAAAGCAGTCATAAGTAGCACAGGTATATTTGTAGCATCATTGTATGAGTCAAAATTATCCATTTTCCTTTTATGCCAAAAATCATTAGGATATTAAGTAAAGATCATGTTCCATGAAGATATTTTGTAAATCTCCTACCGTAAATATATCAAAACGTAACTTTTGATTAGTAATATGCATTGCTAAGAACTTAATTTGAACAACTTTAAAGATGATTTTCTCAATATTTAGATTTTTTTGCACCCTCAGATTCCAGATTTTCAAATAGTTGTATCTCAGCCAAATATTGTCCTATCCTAACAAACCATACATCAATGGAAAGCACATTTAAACTATGTAAAGATCGGCACACCTGTGACGAAGCTGACGGTAGAAGCATCGCAGCAGCTCAGCGGAGGATCGCCCCACGTCACCATCGTCACACGGAAGTTATAGAACCAGGCCGGCAACAGATCCGTCACTCTCTGAGGATTAAAATTAAAACGGTTAACCCATTTAATCCCACCGGTCATGATGGTGACAGTGAAGAAGGCTTTCATTTATAAAGCTCTAAAAACATTACTGACAGGTGTTTTAGTGCATTTCCTGCAAATATGGAAAAATAAAGGGTCTCAATGAAATATGTGCAGTGTCACAATGATTGTCACATGACCAGAGCAGTTTACTTCCTGTTTGCAGAAAACAAAGCTCCAAAACAAAAGCCTAGTAAAGTATGTTAACATAAAGATATAGGTTCACATTATCCTTAAGGTGTCTAGTATTAATATATGCATTCACAATTATTACATTTTGTTGAGTGTTGTCATAGAATGAGTAATGCACTAAAATGTTGCAATGACAAAATATTGCACTAAATTAAAAGTTCAAATGTTACAAATAAGTTACAATGTTTATGTTGTAATACTGCTAGCACTAATATAATAATTGTATGATATATGTTACAATAAAGTAACAATTTTTGAAATACGTTGTATTTTTTGTCTTTTATCTCGGTATTCCTATCAGTGTTTTATAAGTGTTTTTATGCATAATAGTAACCCTAGAATGTGATCAAACAGAGTTTCAAACAGCTGGGCTGAGATACAAAAACATTTAAATAAATAATTATTGATTATTTCAAAGGGATATTTTCATGTCTGAAAAAAATGAAGGGGTTAATTAGCACCTCAGACCTCGCCTGCATCCAGAGTCCCATTAAATATGATTATAATAATTACGCATAAACGCAATATTTGTATTCCTCCCGTCTCAGCCGTGACTCATGAAGCATCATAATTAGCATCTCTACAGATCATCTGAGCTGCTTCAGTAAATGATTACAGGAACGAGGATTCTGACTCCAAACCCTACATTAAAGCAGATTTTCAATCAAATGAACTGCACCAGACTCATTTTAGTTTTACTGGATACTATATTCAATTTAAATTTTATTCAATTTCAAAAACCTTTGAATTTTTTTGTAATTTTTAGTAATTCTTCTTCTTTTTTTTGTATGCCTATTTCGTTTTTTATTAATTTTGTTTTGGTTTTAGTTTGTTATTTTAGTACATGAAGTTAAACTAAATAAAAATAAGAAATGCAACTAGATGAAATTTATATATTTACAGTATGATAGATAGATAGATAGATAGATAGATAGATAGATAGATAAGACAGAGAGAGATAGATAGATGGATAGATAGATAGATAAGACAGAGAGAGAGAGAGAGAGAGAGATAGATAGATAGATAGATAGATAGATAGATATGACAGAGATAGATAGATAGATAGATAGAGAGCGATAGATAAGACAGAGATAGATAGATAGATAGATAGATAGATAAAAGAGAGATAGATAGATAGATGATTGATAACAGAGAGAGAGAGATAGATAGATAGATAGATAGATAGATAGATAGACAGACAGAGATAGATAGATAGAGACAGACAGAGATAGACAGAGACAGAGATAGATAGATAGATAGACAGATAGATAGATAGATAAAGACAGAGAGAGAGAGATAGATAGATAGATAAGACAGAGAGATAGATAGATAGATAGATAGATAGATAAGACAGAGAGATAGAGAGAGAGA